ACAGAAGGTGAAGAAGTGGGTCGCCGAGCAGGTGGAGAAGCAGTTCCCTGATGAAAGCTTCCACAAGGCGCGCTCGCCCAGCGCGGGGCAGGACCCCGCGCCGCCTAAACCTTAGTTATGTAAAGCGTTTTATTCCTTTATGTGATGTATTCAGTAGATTTCAAGTGGAAAATATGTTTAGGATGTTTTAGATGAAAGTAAGTGAAGTAGATGACAATTATAAAAGGACTATACATTTAACTTTGTATTGACTGCATTTTCTATCACTTGACTCAGTGAGGGTACTATTAACAAGATAATAATTTTTAATTATTTCTTTTTACCAATATCTGCATACTTTTATATTGTTGCAGAAGCAATATTAGTTAATAATTTCTTATTGAATGTAAACTTTCACTATGAAGTTAAAAAGGTTTTATGTCATTGATATTGTTTCAATGTTAAATTATATTATTTTAACATTGACTTGAAACCGTTCCAGAAAACTTATACATATCTATATATTGGTTTTTTAAAAGTTGAAATTTTTAAAAACTAGTGTGTTTATTAAAATCTGCGTAAATAAGATTTCATGGAAGTTTCTAGAAATATAATGGAAACTAGTGATTTAGTTTTTCTTGCCATATGACGTAATTTTTACTGTGTATTTGAGATATCTGACGCCATTTATGGCAACACTAAGTTGAAAGTGCATGGTTTGAAAAAATATTGTCTAAGATTTTAAAAAGTGCTGTGAAAAAAAATTGACAAGTGCCCCAATATATGTCTGAACACTGCCAAGTTTTACAGATAACACCTTTAAGAATTGTTACCAAAATCAAAAGGGTTATAGTTTGTAGTTTCCCTCTTCGATTGTCAATTGTGTTACCTCTAATGTTGCCATCAAGGAATGGGTGTTGATTAAACGAACTAGTTAAATCAACTGTTGATCACCCTTCAATGTTTCAACTATTGACAAAGTTACGTTTAACTAATTGAACACTGTAATCAATATATGATTAACTAGTTATCAAAATCTACTCAAAAGTAGATAACGGACTAGTTTTAAAAGCAAACTAAGGGTTTCGTTTAATTGACACCATCATCAATGACCTATCTCTTGGCTATCATTTAACTAAGCGGTTGGTAAATATGATAGCAACATTATTGGTTTTTATTACCCATATAATCCCACTGTTATAATAGCATTGATGCATATTGTAGTCCCTATATTGTCAAAGGAAAGAAAATATGTATTCATGCAAATAAGACAGTGAAGTTATATGGTATAATAGTTGTCAAATATCTTGGCGGCTCTGTTTGCGTGACAACGCCGATGGTAATGTCGAAGGTACTACGCAGCATACCGATGACCTCGAGCTGTTAAGATATTTGAAAAGAACTATAATTAGAGTAAGTGTCATACTGTATTGCTTGACAAATGCTACTTACGGAGCAATAAGCCTTAGCACTTGAAGTTAGTGATTCTATGTAACCGTTACGGAGGTATTAGTCATTTTTTGGTAAAACTAGAATTCTTAAACTATTTTTTATTGACTTTTTTCCAAGTTACTAGTGCTAGGAGTAAGTGTTTTTAGTGTGAGTGCTTTATACTAGGACGTGGTTTAATGTGTCATTCGAATTGTTTTTTTTTATAATTCACTCGTGTATTTTATAATGTAGTATGTAAAGATTTGTCACAGTGTTTTCCAATACTTGTTGTCATGCCAATTTTTTTTAATATAATGTCATTTAAATAATTAAATTATTTTTAAACAATTTTAATTATTATCGACGAGAACATACATGCATTATCCATACACTATCTTTTGAGCATTTGTTTTCATATTATATTTGTCTCGATTTATTCGTTTGGGGTTTATTTTTTTTTATAAGCAAAGCGGCCGGGATTTTCTGAAGTTAAACCTCTTTTAACATGTTTTTGGGAAACATTGTGTTTTGTCGATAGTAGTGAAACTAGCCTTCGATATAGAATTATCACTCGCCTCATTCACTATTATATATTTTAGTCTTTACACAAAATACTGCTCAAAATTCTCATTATTATAAGATAGCGTGAAATAAAGTTAACCAGTAGTTTGATATGAATGTTCTAGTTGTATTTGTGAGGAAACAATGTCGGAATGGAATTGTCAACACATAATAGGTTTTATGTAGACTTTAAAACCATATTGTGCGGGTTTTAAACATATGTTTTTATTGTAATAAATTGTTTGAAAACTTGAAAATGTTTCATTGAATTTTTTTTTTTACGTTTCGTTTTTAACCATACCATTATAAATGCTTTCTCTACATTTATATTTTCCCACTTATTACCTACAATACGTAAAATTGAATAAAAAAGCAATCATGTCACATAAAGTCTTTTAGGTTAAATTGATTATCCAGTAAAGTTGTATTTAAGTCGGTATAGATGGATTAAAGCGGCACTTGGTGCGCAGGAGGCGAGCGGGGCTGAGGCGGAGGCGGAGGAGGCGCGAGCGGAGAGGAAGCGCCGACAAAGACAGGCGCAGGAGGAGTTCCGACTAAAGCAGCTGCTCAAACAGAAAACGGGACCGGGTTAGCATTATTCTATCATTGAGAAACCCGAAAACACATGCGATACAATTTCGATAAAAATGTAATTTATAATCAAAAAAAATCATGTGATATTATGTGCCTAAGAACTAATAAATATGTAGGCATTAGTGATGTGTGGTTTTCACTTCACTATTTCTATTTTCTGTCCCTTCGTAGTTTGTATTTTAGAAAATATTGAAAACAAGCAAATAAAAACCCTGTTGTAAAGTATGAAGTTATTAACGGAACTTTTTTCGTAATCTACTTTTGTGTTATTTTGTCTTACTTTTCTTTTCATTTCATGATGTAGTTGTAGGTTTTTTTTTTATTAATTAAATTCTGTTTCTTTTGTAACATTCTTTTTCTTTTATACACCTTTAATGGCATATTAATAATACATTCCAAGATGAGCTACAAAAATGAGGCAATATAAAAAGACGTAAGTTACTAAAACAAACAACTAATCTATGGATTGGAAGCTCACTTGCTTTTCATAAATCATCCGTTGTCAACAGATGAAGTGCTGTCCAAAGACAATAGCAGTGTAGACAACTTGCTGATGGGGATCGCTACACAGGATATAGTGGTGGATGCTTCTGGTGCTGAGGGCAAGAGGAAGTCTCCCGCTCGCAACCTACCTGAAGCGCCCAATAAGAGAAGGAATAGCTTTATCAACAAACTGGATATATTGTAACCAGAGTGTAAAATCCGACTCGAAGGACCATGTTGTTAAATCATTATCAATTCAAGAGCAGATATTTTGCAGTGAAGCATATTTTTATACATTTAACCATCAAAAGGCAATAGTGTAAGGATGTATAAATAAAAGAAACATTGTCAATGAACTCAAATTTTAATCTCTAACTAATTAAGATTCTTACACACGAATATATACAAAAAAAACCTCGCGAACACGAAAATAGTCCGATTGTACTCAGGTAAATTAAGAACGAAAAAAGAACACCTTTTTAGGACGAACGATAAAACAAAACTTATCCATAGATATCTTAACTAAGTTAAACTAATATAAGGGCCAGTCCCATCAAAATTACAATTAAACCTACACAAAGCGGCCATTTTGTTGGCAAAATGGCGGACGTTGATAGTTCAAATTAAACGAATAAATCGTAAAAAGACAAGTTAGGTTGGCACGCGATTACTTATACAAATAAGCTTTCAAGCCTTCCGAATCAGGGGTGAACTGAGATATAAATTCATATCTCTAGTTCTATTTTGTTATTAGTACAAATAAGTGGGTAAATCGAAAACTTATATAAACCAAGCTTTCTTATAAGCCTGTCATTTCAATGCATGTTAAAAAACTCAACACGTTTATTGCTCGCCTTGTCTAAAAAGTTTACGAAAAATTATATTTGCATAAACTTGTTAAAAATTGTTCTTGTCACAGTATCGGTTAAGCACTTCTCTAGATTAAAAAATTAAAGCCGTCTCTATGGTCTTACATATTGTTAGAAAAGATATATGTATGCTGGCCAACACATATTTTACATATAAAACTTCTAATTGTGACATACATTGCACTACTTTATATGATTTTATAATAATAAAAAAATATACCGCGTAACATATGTAATGATTAAAATTAATGTTACCAATATGGGTTAGAAAACACAGATAACTTATACTTTACGTAAACAAAATCATATATTTTCTAGTTTGTTATGTGTATCAAATTTGTATTGTGAAAAAATCTATTTAATATTTACAATTGATAATTTTCATCGATTCTAATAACTTTAGTATAAAATATTAAGAGAATACAATCGAACCTGGATCAGTGAAACTCTGATTTGAGAGAAGCCACTATCAGCGAGACGGTCTAATTTTTGAGAAATCTTTCGAAGCGAGGAACTCAAATTTTTGAGAAATCTCTATAAGCGAAAACTCAATTTTTTGAGAAACTTCTATAAACGAGAAACTAATTTGTGAGAAATCTCTACCGAAAAACTCAAATTTTTGAGAGATCTCTATAAGCGAGAAACTAATTTTTGAGAAACCTCTATAAACGAGAAACTATTTTGTGAGAAATCTCTACCGAGAAACTCAAATTTTTGAGAAATCTCTATAAGCGAGAAACTCAAATTTTTGAGAAATCTTTATAAGTCTAATTTATGAGAAGCCTCTATTAGCAAGTAATATGTCGATCTCGCAGACTCGCTTCCGCAGGTTGGACTGTATACCCATTTACTTAAAGCGATATTACATAGGATAATTGGACATACATGACTCATATTTCTACGTCTATCAGTGAAATTACAACCTTCTAAAACATTACAAATATATAAAGCAGAATTTATATATTTCGAAAATATATTTTTACTATATCCACTACATACTACTGATAACATATATACATATGGTTATATTGATAAAAGCTACATATATTAATTAATATAGTATATAAATTGAATGAATTTTATCATAAATTCATGATGAAACTTCCTCTAAGAATAGTTTATTTCGACATCAAAACCTCAAATTAAATTTTTACATAAAAAATATTTTTGTATATCAACTGAAAAGACTTATTTAATCTACAATTAATCATTATATAAAAACTTTTTGTAGATATCTTATACTAAAGATATTATATGTTTTAATATACTCTGTTCAATATATGTACTACAATATGGTATTTATTTTAACCCTTAAAAGCCTGATTCGTGTGAAGTATACCTTTTACTGTGTTTTTACTGAGGAAAAATAGTAAAAAAATCAAAACGAAGTTTTTATATATTTTCGTTATTTATAGATTATCAATCAGAAGTAACATGAAAATTAAAATAAAACCGATTGTAGGTGCCCAAAGCAATTTATAACCCCAACATCAAATTTTAAACTTCAGGCATTTAAGAGTTAAATAATTATATGTATCTTTCTAATTAAAAAAAAAGATAAACTTTATTATAAAAAAATAAAATGTATAAGAACACATCTTAAGAATTAAATTAAAATAACGTATAATCTATTTGATAAGACGAAAATAGGTAATGTTTAATAAACAGAAGTTAATTTTAAAATTATTCTGTTATTAATTTTCTTCGTATATATATTGAACAGAGTTTTCATATAAATATTTATTTTATGTGTAGTAGTATTTGGATTTAAAGGCAGTATTTCGGAGTAGAACCTTAAAGGAATTTTAGCATTTAGTTATTTTTTATAATTACTGATTAGGCATTTATTTTGGGATTTATTTGATTGGCTTATAGATATAAGACTAGTATCAAATTAATGCATAATTTATTTTCATAGCAAGAAATTTCTTTAAGGTTCTCCCATTTGGTGTTACAAATATAACATATGTGCATATATTTATATAGACTGACCAGAAATATTAAAATTGCCACATAACAGAAAAATGTTGAATTACATTTTTTGCGTAACGCTGGGATTTTTATATTTAAGGTTAGGCTATATATTATCTATATACTAGTTTAGATAATTATTTAGGACTGCTATATTTTGATATACAACACTTGTCACGTTAATGTTTATATCTCCAAGATCAAAATCAATCATTCCTCGTATTCCCTTCTAAAATAATATTTTTGTAAACAGACAGTAAAAATAGTTGACATAAAAATAATGAACTTTGCCATATTTAGACCTGATTATTGACTGACTTACTTTTTTATTTCACTTTGTATTACAATATAGTATACAATTATATTTTCTTCGCATTTTTTAGCATATTAATGTACCGACTTAATATTGGTCTTCAGTGGACATTATTAAATTATGTTTGAATAACATTATACGATTTTGTTGACAATCTAAATGAAAATGTTTCTGTATTTTAAAAAGTTCTCTTTTGTCAAATTAGATTCCCCCTTTCTATTCATATAAGAATATGGTAGAAAGTAGAATGGAGAGTTAATTTGGCTTTTGTCATACTTGTATTGCGGACTGTACCAATGTCCACAAACATTCAATTCTAACAATTTTAATTGAAAACCGCACAGTTCAGTTACAACGTTAATCCTAACATTAACTGAACATTTTGACGGTTAAAATCTTGCTAATACTTGTCTAAACTGCTTCCCTACACAAAGTAACTTTCGAATATCGATATTGCTAGTAGAATCGACAAAATGTATAGAAATGTATGTGATCACGTGACTTATCATAAAGAGCGTCGGTGGCTTAGTGGTTTAATCTTCAGGACTTGGGTTCGAATCCCGTTATATACCAATGTGATTTTAAATTTTTCGAATTTTCATATGTACTTAATTTACCCGACGTCCTTACGGTAGGAGAAAACATAGTGATGCCTGCACATATCGGCGAAGAAATTCAAAGACGTGTTAAATCAACCCGCAGTATGCCAGCGTGGTTGAGTATGGTCTAGTCACCCTTACTCATGGTAGTTCACATCTGTTTAAGAATGTAGTTAGAGAACTGTTTTTTTTTTTGTTGGTTTTACTTATGGGGCGTTATCGTTGCTTCGTGACAAAGCCTCGTGTGAAGGTAAATTAAAGAAAAATAGGGTATGCTCCGAGCCCCTCGGTAAGGAAGTACAGTGAGCTGATGATGACGTGTCTTATCGAATATTATTGTAGTTTCCATAAGTTGTTTTTCAACCAATGTTTGTTGGGCATTGACAGTTGAGTTAAGAGTTAAGAGTAAATGTGTGGTTAGAGTATCGCAGCGCTCACACGACGACCTCCTCCTGCTCCTTCTCGCGCTGGCGCACCGCCACCGCCGTCTCCAC